CGACGTCGCGCGTGNGCGNGCGGNGNGCGNGNGNGGNGGNGGNGGNGGNGGGGNGGGGGGGCGTGCCTGTTGTCGTGGCACACGGCGCTGGCACACAGACGCGCCTCGCGCTCGCCTCGTCGTCACGGGTGGGGATGCGGATCGAAGCGGATGCCAATGCGACGCAAGGCAGCTACGTAATCTCCCCGCGTCTTGGTCTTGGGGCCAATCCACCACGGGGGCGGGGTGGAAGCACGCTCACACGCGGCGCTCGATATCGATCCAAAAGTCGAGCTGGTAGGCGAGGAAGCTGGTAAGGCCGTGGTAGGGGATATGCACAGTCCCTCTCTCCCTCGATAGACTGGCCCACCGGATACCTGTGCGGTCCCCCCCCGGACGGCGCGGCGAGAACGAGAGGCGGTAGCGCTGCAGCAGCGTGGGCAGCGCCTTTGCCCATCTCCATGCTGGAAATGGGCCGACCAATGCAGATGCGCGTCTCGGCGCCAAAGGAGAAATTGTGCCGCTCCATCCGCCGTCGCGCCTCGGCATCGTCGGTCAGCCACCGCTCAGGTCTAAATTCCTTGGCGTCCGGCCCGTAGGCTGCCGTGCTGCGGTGGGTAGTGCCAGCTGGACATGGTCACCTCGGTGCCCTCGGGCAGGAAGAGGGCGCCGTTGCCGTTGCCGTTGCCGCTGCCGCTGCCGCTGCCGCTGCCGCCACCGACGACGGCGCCACGAAGTAGGGCAGGTGCCTGATCGACTCGGCGTACGTGGGCGGCATGCTGAGTCCGCAGCCGTCGACCTCGTCGCGCAGCCGCTGCAGCACCTCGGGCCGCTCGTGGGTCAAGGCGACGAACGCGGCCATGGTGGCCGACGTCGTGTCGCCGCCGGCCGTCAGGACGGGAAAGGCGGCGACGAGCAGCTGGCCCAGGTCGAGCGGCCTGCCCGTGGTGGGGTCCCTGGAGCGCATAAAGGTCGAGAGCATGTCCCTGCGCGACGTGTCGCCGCGCCGCAGCCGGCCCTGGATGCAGTCGACCGACCAGCCGACGAGCTTGGCCGTCGGGTCGGTGAAGAGCTTGAGCACGCCCAGCACGGCCCGGCCGAGCCTCGGGTGCAGGGCGAGCGCGACGGCGCGGTTGAAGCCGACAAAGAGGGTGTCGACGACGCCGAGGACGTCGCGCCTCTGGCGGGTCAGGCCCAGCGGCTGGCCAAAGGCGAGGTCGGTGACGACGTCAAAGGCAAAGAAGCGGAGCGCCTCGTCGAGGTCGACGGGCGAGGGCGGCGTCGGCATCGGCGTCGAGGTTGGCCAGCAGCGTGGCGAGGTTGGCGTCGACGCACTCCTCGAGCTCGAGGAGCGTCTTCATGGCATAGCCGGCGGCGCACTGGGGGCGCAGCAGCGCGTGCTGCTTGGCGTCGGTGGCGCTAAAGATGGACTCGTCGTCGCCGGGCCTCATGAAGCCGTAAAAGTCGGTCTTGGTGAACCGCGTCTTGAGGCCGTAGACCTGCTGGACCGTGTCCGGGGTCGAGGGTGAGGATGCGGTTGCGGCCGACGCGGATGTGGCGCGCGTCCGGGTAGCGCTCGAGCAGCGCCTTGGTGGCGGGGATGTAGTCCTTCTTGAGCGCGCGCAGCAGCAGAAAGGAAAAGAGGCCGCTGCGCGAGATAAACGGGCCGGGCAGGCTGGCGAGCGGGTGCAAGTAGAGGTTGTAGACGACGTACGAGGCCAGCAGCGCCGCCGCCGCCACGCCGACCGAAAGGGGCGTCGGCGTCGGCGCGTCGATGAGCTTGATCGCAGTGCGCTGGAGCATGGCGGCGAGAAGGGCGGCGGGGCAAATCTTCGGCGGGGCCTGGGGCCGGGGTGGGCAAGGGCGTATGGGAAGGTGGACAAAGGCCGGGTCGCTTTGGGAGGGACTTGGGCGTCGCTGCTTACTTGTATGTGACGGAAAGAGCGAGCTCGAGGGTCGGTCAGAGGGCGGCGAGGCGGATCGAGGACGAAGCGTATGCACGAGGCGCGCGCGCGGGTGGGCCAGACGACCAATGGTTAGGCCCGGCCTGATGACCTGCGACGAGATGGGAGACCAACGGACGGGACGAGGAGCCGAGCTGCGTACCGCCACGGCGGGTTCAAGAGATCAACGACGTAGCGGCCGGACGTCAACAGTCGAGTTGGCGGTATCATGGGAGAGTGGGCAGCATCCTCTGGTCCCCCAACGAGCTCGTCCGGGCCAAAGGAGCGGGGCCCCGCCTGGCGCGGTAGTCTATTGTCGAGGCGCCCGACGAGCACCGATGGGCCGGTGATAGGCGCTCGGCGGCGTCGAAAGGCCATGGCGAGGAGCGGCGTGCTGCCTAGCAGCGTCTCGTTGGCAACGGGAGCAGGGCCGTGGGCGGCAGGACGGGCAACGGCAAAGGGCGGGAGGGGTAGTCGAGGCTGTCGTCTGAGGGCCCGCAAGCCTATGACAGTCGCGCCACGAGAGCGGCGCTGAGCTGGCGGGGCAGTCGATGGCCACGAGACTACGCACCCTGTCCGGAAGCTCAGTTCCGGGGGGCCCAGGAGCTGGGCATGGAATCGGCTGTGGCTGGGAGCGTGACCTTCTGGGCGAGGTTGGGTGGTGGGCGCTGCTGCTGCTGCTGCTGCTGGCGGCGGCGGTGGTGGTGGTCAGAATGGTGGTGCGGGTCATCCGACCGTACGGTGAGCGTGGCGGCGTCCCCCGCATCAGACTACCGGCAGGCGACGGTGCTTTGACGACGACCGCGATGGTGGTGGTGGGCGGGGGGGACGTGCGCAAAGGCTCGAGGAACAAAGCGGGGCGCGGCAGAAAAGCAGCCAAACGGCCGCGCCGCCGACCTGTCCGACTTTTGCCTTTTGGCCCTTGCAAGCAAAGGTCGCCCGATGGCCGCCACCTCTTTGCCCACCTCCTCTTTGTCCCGTCCTGCTCCCCACGCCGTCGCCCACGCCGCCGCCTCCGGTCGAGGACCTGGCCGTCGTAGATGACCGCCGCCGGCACCAAGCGCACCACTCCTCCCATCGACGTCCACCAGCCCCGCCCGCCGGCGCACCGCAGCGATGCCGACGACGATGTCGTGGGCAGCCAAGGCGGCGACTCGTCGAGCACCACGAGCCATGGTAGCGGCAGTGGCACCGACGACGACGACGACGACGACGAGCCAAGTCATGGCCCGACGCCCAGCTCTTCTCGACGCCGAATCGATGGCAAGGCGCCAAGGCTATCGCCCTCGCCCTCGCCCGCAGCCCAACACCGCCGTACGCTTCGTCGAGACGTCCGGCGGCTGCTAGCCATCGGCGACCACGCTCAGGCGGCAGAGGTCTGCACCCGCCACCTGGCCCAGCTGCGGCGGCAGCAGCAGCCCAACACCCGCGCCGCCACCGACTCGGCCTTCCTCCTCGTCAGCCGCTCCATGGCCCGCGAGCGCGCCGGCTGCCTCGACGACTCGCTCAAGGACGCAAAGGCCGCCATCCGCATCGACCCAGACAACCCGAAGCCCTACCTCCGCGCAGCCTCGGCCCTCGCCGCAGCCGGGCACGTCTCAAACGCCCGCTCCTGCCTCGCCGCCGCCCGCAGCAAGCTCTCGCTCGCCTCGTCGCAGGCAGAGCACGCCTGGACATCGACCTCTCCGTCGGCCCTCGTGCGCGGCGCCAAACGACGGGCGCACCTCGAACACCGCATCGCCCGCCTCGAGGCGTCAATCTCGTCCCGCCCGCTCGCCAGCCTGCCCCTCGAGCTCATCCTCCGCATCCTCTCGTTTCTCGACGTCAAGCAGCTCCTCCGCACCCTCACCGTCTCGCGGCAGTGGCGCGCAGAGGTCCTCGCCTACCCGCCCCTCTGGCGCCACCTCGACCTCACCCAGCTCGTCTCGCTCCACCAGATGCGCCAGGAGCTCAAGAGCGACGGACGCCGCACCCGCAGGGCCCTCGAGCGCTTCTGCCACCTCTCGCGCAACTCGCTCGTCAGCCTCCGCCTCAGCGCCGTCGGGTCCCAGGACAGCGTCGACACCATCCTCGCACTCGTACGCAGCAACGCCGCCACCCTCGAGCACCTCCAGCTGGACCGCTGCACCGCCCACCAGGTCCTCGCCAGCGTGGTCCCCGCCTGCCAATCGCTCAGGTCGCTCGAGATCCAGCACCCGCCCTCGAGCCGGTACAGCGTCCAAGAGGCCGACGCCAACGGCGGCTCCATGGTCCGCGCCGGCCTGAGCTCAAAGGTCGCCGAGCGACTCTCGACCATCCGCCTCGAGACGTTCGGCGTCCACCGCGAGGCGCTGGCCATGTACCCGCAGCTTGCGCCCATGCTGTCGCAGCTCCGCGTGCTCAAGGTCTGCTCGCCGAGCAGGATGTGCTCGCCCTTCGCCCACCTCGAGCTGTACGACGCCTTCGCCTTTGACGCGCTCGCGCAGGCCCACGCTACCATCGAAGAGGTGCGACTGTCGACGTGCCAGCAGCTGCCGATACGCTTCGAGGGTGCTCCGCCGCGCAACGAGCCCACCAGCCTCGTCTTTGAGCGGCTGCGGGTGCTCGAAGGCTGGCTGCCGCGCGTCGTGCGCGGACGACGCGAGATGCGGCGCGAGACCGGCCTGCACTTTTCCTTTCCGGCGCTCCAAGAGGCCGAGGTGGGCTTCGAGTGCGACGAGGACGAGGAGGCCTTCTACCGCCACAGCCCTCGCATCGAGCGCCTCTCGCACCGCTGCCAGCTCTACCCGCAGGGCACCCGGGAGCCCACCCGTCGCATCGCGATGCTCGAGGACCTGCGCGCGCTCTCGATCGCCTACCGCGCGCAGATCGGCGAGGATCCAGCGGCGATATGGCCCAGCCTCGTCCCGCACCGAATCCGAGGCGAGGACGACGCCGCCGTCGTCAAGGTGGCCTGTCCGAAGCTGACGGAGCTCCGCATCGAGTACGCCGACCGCGACCTGACGGGCACCCTGCTCATCCGGCTCGTCCTGCTCCGCCTCTACCTCTCCAAGGGTCTCACGTTCGACGAGGCCGTGGCGCGCGCCAGGCCGGAAAAGGCTCCGGGTCGAGCGACGACCTCTTTCTCGAGGGCCGGCGCAGCGTCCTCGAGCTCCTCGCCCTTCTCCCGCGCCTCGGGTGCATCGGCGCCGGCGGCGTCGGCACGGCCCGACAAGCTCTTCTCGACGGCTGCGACGAAGACGACCGACGACGACGACGACGACGACGGAGGCGGGCGCGTGGCGTGCTGTGCCATCGTCAGCCTGCACCTCCGAGGCTGCGACGGCGTGAGCGACGAGGCGGCCGAGTTCCTGCGCAAAGTCGTCGCCGACTTTTCTTACTCGCCTTGATCCGTGCGTGGGCCCGTGGCTCGTTTCTGCGCCGTCGATCTGTCCGGCGGCATCGACAAGGTGCTCACGGAAAGCTCGTACCCACTCGCCCCGCCCCCGACGCTGCAGGTGCTCGACCACGAGGGCGAGATTGCGCTCGACGAGTTCGTCAAGCTCGAAAAAGAAGCTGCAGAAGGATGGCCGGAGGGAGGAGCAGATGGGCTCCTCGGCGTAATGACGACGAGCTTTGTTATTCCTCGAATCGACACTGTTGCGCCACGGCGCTGCGGATGCTGGAGCGATGCGATCGGTGTCAGGGACAGACGGGCTTCCGGGGAGGAACTAAGGGGCTCCTGCGAGGAATGGACGGGGGGATAGGAAGGAGGAGACCAGCTCCGAGGACGAGTAGAAGAGATCCGCTACTGTTCCGTGACCCCCGAGACGAAGCGACCGCCCGAACGGTTTTGACGTTTGGCTTGCTTCCTTCGCCGAATTTGCTCGGTGCCCAGCTGGTATCGATCCGGACGGGCTTGCTGCCATTTGCTCGAGGGGGAAGAGGGCGGCGAATCCGATGAGGATGTCGCCGGCGCAGGTCGAGGCGTCGACGGGGGAAGTGATTGAGGGGATCGTGGGGAATAATGAGGGGACTGCGGCAACTCCGGCGAGAACGACGTTCGAGGCGGAGGAGGGGGCGCACTCAAAGGCGGTGGCGACGAGGAGAGGTGGACGGAGGACGGAGGAGGAGGAGGAGGAGGGGGCGCGACAGCTTGGGGAGAAGTCCCGGGCGCTTCCCACAACACCCCGGACTCAGAGGGTGCTGTTGGAGCTGCGAAAGGAACCCTCACGACGGAGGTTGTCGACCTCAGCACGGAGCTGAGCAGCCTCGGCTTGAGCGACTCGGACGGCCTCCTGTGCCTCGGCGAGCTCCTGGCGCAGGCGGCCCTCACGTTCCTCGGCATCTTGTTTGTGCAGTGCGCAGGCTCGTTGGAGCTGGGCCACCGTCGCTCGAGATTCGGCCACAGCTGCCTGGTGTCGTTCCGTATTCTGCTGCTGGATGCTAGCGCGCTGGACACGAGTGTCGGCCAGGGCCGCCGCTGCCCGAAGACGGTCCGAGCTCTCGCGCTGCGATTCCACCATCCGAGAACGCGTGTTGTTGAGCTCCTTGCGGAGCTGTTCGGCTTCGGCTGTGGCAGCCTGCTTGCGCTCTCCGGCTGCTCGTTCGGCTTGGGCGAGAGCTTCGCGGAGCTGTTCCGCTTCGGCTGTGGCAGCTTCGGCAGCCTGTTCGCGGTCGTTGCTCGCTCGTTCAGCTTGGTCGAGAGCCTCGCGGGACTGGGCGAGAGCCTCACGAGCTTGGTGGAGCTGGCGTTCGAGGGCGTCGCGTCGGCGTCGATGGAGCGGGATGCCGCTGTTGGAGAAGGCCGTTGAGATGGCATTGAGCCAGGTGTGGTCGCCCATCGATCTCAGCGACTGTTGGTTGCGAGCTGACACGCGGAAGAGCGGAACGAGTACGACGTCGACGCCACGCCAGTCGGGTGTGGCATGGATCCGATCAGACGCTCGTCCGGACGGATGGGCGTGCTGTCGAGCTCGCTGCTGGCGGTGAACGAGGAAGAGGTGTGGGAGGACATGGCTGCCGAGTGTTGAACGTGGGTGGGCGACGAAGACGAGGGCAACGAAGACGAGGGCGGCCAAGACGAGGGCGGCCAAGACGAGGGCGGCCAAGACGATTGCGACCAGGACAAGGGTGACCAGGACAAGGGTGACCAGGACAAGGGTGACCAAAAGGAAAACGAGCCAGGGACCGGATTGCGAGAAGAAGGCCTGCAAGAGGGATGCATGCGATAGGGGGCAGCGTGCAAGATGCGGACGAGCAAGAGGCGAGTAAGTCAGGATGAATGCGGCCGTGTGGGCGGTGTATGGACGGCCGCCAGCGCTACGAGAAAGGGTGCTTACCTGGAGATTACAGCGAGGACCGGGAGGCGGCTTGCGGTGTGAAGGCGGCTTGTGGTGCGGGATGAAGGTGGGGATGGTGGAAGAGAGGAGGGGGGAGCGGACGAGCTTGCCTGCTTTGTAGAGAGGCCCAGCGAGAGGCGACGACGCCGCCTTCCAGGCTGGTCGGGCCTGGCTGGCTGGGTCACTTGGCGGGCAGGCCGGCACGCCCTGCCTCGGGGCTGCGTTGGATGGACCGCACGGACGTGCAAACTCTGGACGGAAACCCAGGCCTGGCCTGTCTGCCTGTCTGCCTGGTTGTGCGGCTGGCCTGCCTGAAGCGGGGGCTTGGTGCGCCTAGGCTGCCCACCGCCGCCCGGCCCTGGCCGGCCATGCCCACGCACGCCTTGCTTGCTTGATTGCGCGGACAGGCAAGCGTGCATGCAGCCGTCGGGTCAGTCGGTCGGTCCCCTGCCTGCCAGCTTGCGCCCCCCATCCCGCCCCCTCGTGAGCCGCGCCCGTGGTAGGCAGGCAAGCAGCATGCACGGTGGAAGATGGTTCGCTTGTGTTCCTTGACCCTGCCTTGCCTCCCCACCGCCGTCAAGAGGGTCAGACGAAGAGTATCGAGTGCATCGAGGCCAAGGGGCCGAGGGTTGACCATCGAAGCTGCAAACCACAGCGGGCCACACACGCCGTGACCGCGAAAACCGGCATCTCGCGTCGCCATGCCTCGTAACAGGCGTCGATGCTGCCAGGGTGTCGGGGCACCGCTGGCGAGGCAGGTGGCAGCGGCGGCGAGACCCTTTTGCGACGGAGGCCGTCTGTCGTTCTGGCAGGCCGAATGACCCGACGGCCTTGCCACCTCGCTGTTGGAAAAACGCATCATATCCCGGTTCAGCTGGATGCGCCGCCAGCCGCGCCCAGGTCACGTCGTGAGTGCACGCCGACGCCCCGAGCCCGCTTTTCGCCGCCGTCTCTTCTCGCCCAGTGAAGCGCACTACCCACATTGAATCCGTTTGAAGCAATGTATGTGTGCCGCTCTGCCTGTTTCAAAGATTCAGCCTAGGGGGCCGTCGTACGCCGATACGAGGTGTGGCGATGCTCGGACACGGTGTGGTACAGTGCCGCACATGCCTGGCTTCTCCCGCTCGTCTCGGGAGCATGGTCCGACGTCCGCCATCATTCCGGTCGCTGAGGTGACAACAAGCAGCTGTGCTTTGATTGTCGTCCAGGCCAGCCGGAGAGGGACGGGCGGGCGAGGCAGGCGACGCGGCCAGGAGCGAGGTGAGGGCAAGCGGGCAGCAAGAGCCCGCGCCACAGCGTGCGTGTGGGCTCTTCTAGGCTAGGCGAGATGGGCAGGCGATATCGTCCCGCCAGACGGGCAGGCAGGAGTCGCCGTCTCTCTCCAGGGACGCATACAAGGAGGAAGCACGGGCTGACAGGCGTAATCGCGAGCTGCCCCTAGCCTGCCTCTCACCCAACCACCCGCCCGCCGTCTTCTGCCAACCCGGCCTATTTCCTCCCCCCAATCACCCCGTCTTCCCGCCCTCGAGCGTTCTTCCCGGATCACCCGGCTCGTCCTTTGTCTTCGTCGTCGCTGAGCGGTGCCGACCACCTGAGCCCGTCGGCCCTGGCCCGACCGGACCAGACCCGACGATGGCATCCGCGCCCGGGTCGAGACGGCGCTGCTGTCCTCGATGCGCGTGGCCACCGAGCATCAGAGTGCGCTGCGAGCCGTGGACGACGACGACGACGCCTGGCCGACGTCGACCTCGGCGGCATCTCCCGCTCGCTCCATCGGCGTCGCAACGATGATGGGGGTCTGGTCCAGCGGTCACAGCAGCGTCCGGGCGCCTCTCGTCGGCGCCGCCGCATTTGTGATTTTTTGGGACGCCTTGTTCCCGGCCCCAACTGGTGCGTGTGGAGCGGGAAACGGATTCTGCGTGCCCCCCTGGAGAAGTGCTGACGCGCGTGCGAGATTCGAGATTTGAAAGCGGCGGCTGCCGTCGAGATGACGCGGATGCGGGCAAAGGGCGCTTGGCTGGCCGGGGCTGGCCTGCCTGCCTTTCCCGCCTTTGATGCCTGGCTGGCTGCCCGGCCGGCTGACTTCCTTCTTGGCTTTCTCCACTCTGGCTGACGCCGCCGCCGCCGCCGCTGCCGCTTCTTCCTCGCCTCGCCGCCTGCTCCTCTCTTTCTCTGCCTGCCTTCCTCTGTTTTGCTCGCGCATGCCCTGCTCTCTCTCTCACCTTTCCATCCGGATCTCGACACCTGCACGCTCCTTTGCCTGCCCTACACTCCCATCCACCTCTTTCCCTCGCGTCGTCACGCACCTGCCACCGGCACCACCCGAGTCGCGGGCTCCATTCGCCCCGGGCGCCTGGACCGCAAGAAGCACCACCGCCAAGGGACGCACCTCGCTGCCATCACCAGCGTCCACGGCAGACTGGACCACATCCCCGCCTCTTCGCCTCGCGCCTCTTCGCCTCGCGCCTCCTCGCCTCGCGCCTCTTCACCTCGCCTCTCCTCGGTCGGTGCGCCATGATTGCACCCTGGCCGCCCGTGGCCAGAGCGGCCGCACGCTCCCATGGCCGCAGCTGCCCTAGCTTCGGCTGTTCTGGGTCCTCCTCGTCCTCCTCCGCCGCCACCGCCTCGTCCTCCTCTCGCCCACTGTCCACCCGGCCATCCAGGACAGCACCGATAGCATCGCCCTGGCATGCTGCTCCCCTCGCCGCGCGTGCTCCCCTGCCCTTCGCCCTCCGCACCGCGACGACCCCGAGAGCACCGCCTCGCCACGCACATCGCGCCTTCTCCACCTCTTTGCGTCCATGCAACAACTCGCAACCAGCAGGACCGGGAAATGCTTCCTCGCCCTCGTCGCCCCCGTCCTCGTCGCCCTCCCCCTCGACGACCGACAAGAAGCCTCACGACCCGCGGCCGTTCCGCAAGCAGTACCCTCCCGTCAAGCCCACGCCCAAGCCCGTCAACTTTGACCAGCCCGCCATCCCCAACCCCATCGAGACGGCCGCAGCCCACGAGCGCTTCCGTGCCGGCTCGAGGAAGGTCGCCATCGGCCTTGGCGGTCTCGTGATCGCCGGCGGCCTCTTCTACCTCGGCCGCGACTACCTCCACCTCGACGACGCCGGCCGCTCGCCCATCCGGGGCCTCGAGCTGCCCCACGACGAAATGGAGCGCAAGGTGCGCGAGGCGCAAAAGACCCAGTCGGCCAGCTCCAGCTTTGCCCTCCTCGCCCTCACCCGCTCCACGACCATCGCCAAGGCCGTGGCGCTGTGCGTCTGGGACTACCGCAAGACGCTCAACGCAAAGTACGACTCCAAGCACGACGAGCAGGAGGGTCTGCGCCAGTGCCACCTGCGCTCGGCCAACCGCATCCTCGTCGCGCTCCAGTCCAACGGCGGCCTCTACGTCAAGCTGGGCCAGCACCTGTCGGCCGTCATCCTGCTGCCCGAGGAGTGGACGACGACGCTGCGCCCGCTCCAGGACCAGAACACGGCCACGCCGCTGCCGGAGCTCGAGGCCATGTTCCGCACCGAGACGGGCACCACCTTTGACGAGGCGTTTAGCGAAATCGACCCGAGGCCGCTCGGCGTCGCGTCGCTCGCCCAGGTCCATCGCGCCGTCGACCGCCAGACGGGCAAGCAGCTGGCCATCAAGATGATGCACCCGGACGTCGAGCGCTTCTCCGAGGTCGACATGCAGACGGTCACGGTGCTCGTTCGGTGGGTCAAGCGCGTCTTTCCGCAGTTTAGCTTCGAGTGGCTCGCCGACGAGATGAACCAGAACATGCCCCTCGAGATGGACTTCCGCCACGAGGCCCAGAACGCCCAGCGCGCCGACGCCGACTTTGCCGGCTACCGCACCACATCGGTGTACATCCCCAAGGTCAAGTACGCCTTCAAGCGCGTCATGGCCATGGAGTTTATCGACGGGCGGCGGCCCGACGACCTCGAGTACCTGGCGCTGCACGCCATCGACCGCAACCGCGTGAGCCAGGAGCTGTCGCGTGTCTTTTCCCAGATGCTCTACCTGCACGGCTTCTTCCACGCCGACCCGCACGGCGGCAACGTGCTGATCCGGCCGGCGCCGCCGGGAAGCCGGTCGAGGTACAACTTTGAGGTGGTGCTGCTCGACCACGGCCTCTACTTTGACATTGACGAGGAGCTGCGCGCCAACTACGCGCGCTTCTGGCTGTCGCTGCTCAAGCCGGCCAGCCCCAAGGTGACGGCCGAGCGACGCAAGTACGCCAAGCTCATCGCCAACATCGGCGACGACCTGTACCCCATCCTCGAGAGCGCCATCACGGGGCGCGCCGGCCTCGAGGGCAGCGACCCGGACAACCCGCTGGGCGTCAAGGACCGCAGCCGCGCCAGCAGCCTGCTCGACATGGAGGGCGGCGCCAACGTGACCGACGACGAGCAGGAGCACATCCGCAAGGTGGGTGCGCGGGCCCGGGGATGCAGCGAGTGCAGAGCACACAGAGACTGACCTCGTCCCCGCTTCTCCTCCTCTCTCGACCCCGTCCCCGCTTCTCCCCCTCTCTCGACCCTGCCTGATCCCGCGATCCTGACCCTCGACTCTCCCTCCCGACGCCTCGACCCCGCCCGCGCGCCTCTGCAGACGGTCATGGAAAAGGAGGGCCTGTTTGTGTCGATCATGGAGCTGCTGCGGCGGCTTCCGCGGCGGATGCTGATGGTGCTCAAGCTCAACGACCTGACGCGCTCGCTCGACGCCTCGCTGCACACGACGCACGGCTCCGCGCGGCCGTTTATCATTGCCGCGCGCTACTGCGCCGTGGCGGTGTACGACAACGACCTCAAGCACCTGGCCGAGCGGCGGTCGCAGGGCGAGACGTCGCTGCTGACGTCGGTGTCGCTGTGGCGCGAGTACGCGCGGGCGTGGTGGAGCTACGTCTACTTTTACCGCGGCCTCGGTCTGATGGAGGGCCTGTCGGACGCCAAGGCGAGGCTGAGCAAGATCTGGCAGTTTACGCGGGCCATGGCGGGCAAGGGGGGCAGCCACGAGAAGGCCAAGCGGGCGGCGGCAGGGCTCGAGGATAAAAAGGCGCGCGAGGACCGCGAGGAGACGGACCGCGAGCGCGCCCGCCTGGCGCTGCGGGACGACGAGGGCAAGCTGGCATAGCGTCGGTGTAGCCCAGCCCGATTCCGCTGCCGGACCGGGCCGGAGCGGGCCGAGGCCGTCGCAGTCGCGCGGTCGGGCGGTCGGTCGGTCGGTCGGTTGAGATTGCGATGATGCGCAGAGAGAATATGCAATGGTATAGAGCGGCGGAGCGAGCCTGTAGAAAGAAGTCGACAGAGCGGGAGGAACGGGTGGCGTGCCGCTGCGGTGCGGTGCGCCCTTTGGCCTGCCTGCCTGCCTGCCCGTCGCTCGTCGTGGAATCTGGCCCGTACGAGGGCAGCGTGCAGCGTGCTGCGATGCCGATGAATGTGCACTACTCTCTCGTTTCGGGACGACGGGCAGGGGCGAGGTGGCCCTGCGCCATTGTATTGGACTTTGACAACTCGCTGCTGCTGCCGCTGGCTGGCTGGCTGGCTGGCTGGCTGGTGGGTGGGTGGGTGGTAACGACCGCCGGCGATGGTTGTGTTGGATTCGGCGGAACGGGTCGAGGTCCGGCCAGGCCAGGCCGGGCCGGGGTGGCTCAAGTTAAGCAAAGTCGGGTCGGACCGAACGTTGTCGCTCGTACTTTGTCGTACGTGTCCCTCCGCCTCAGCCTCCGCCTCCGCCCTGGCCTGGCCTGGCCTGGTACGGCCTGCCTTTGCTTGTGGCTCGAGACTGAGCCCTGGGTTGGGCAGCAGGCCTAGGCAGGGGCTGGTTGTACGCCAAGAAAATCGGCAACAAGCCGCTGCGCTGCCGACCCCCCCTGCTTCTGCTGCGCTGCGCTTGCTTCTCTTTGCGGGCCGCCCGTTTTTCGTCATGGAGCAGCTAGTTAGCCTAGTCGACCGAACTCGCCGCACCCGCACCCGCACCACGGCCGCACCGCGTTCGTGTCCGCCGGTCTTTTCACCATCGCGCTCGCACGTACGACCTCAAGCCAAGGCAGGCTATACCGCCGCTTCCGCTTCCGCTGCCGTCACCGTCGGCTCCAGACCAAGCCTGCGGTGCGAAACGGCCGTGCGACAAACGACGACCGACCGAGCAGCAACCTAACCGTGCGCCGGCGATGCTGCCAAGACCTTCTACCCTTTGGCAGCGATGGCCTGGCCTGTCTGGCCATTTGCATATCCGGACGGCAAAGGCAGACAGGCAAGCAGGCAAACAGGCACAAGGCTGACGAGAGAGCCGACGAGCGACGACGAGGTGGACGTGGGCGTCACGAGGTCGAGGTCGAGGTCGAGGTCGAGGACGAGGACGGAGCAATACCGACAGCTTGCTTGCTTTTCGCTTTCGGATGAGATGCCGTCGTTGGGGGCGTGGGGACGACGCACGGCGGGCCCGGGTCGAGGCCAAGGGCAGGCAGGACACGGCGGACAGGGACCGCAGGCCAGGGCGGGCCAAGGCCAAGCCAGGCCGTCGAGCGGCGGTACGTTACGATGCGGGCCGTGGCCGCCTGTCTGCTTGCATCCTTGCCTGCGACCCTGCTGGCCTCTGACGGGGTTTTTTCTTGGCAGCCAGCAGCCAGCCACCCGCCCGCATCGATTTCAGGTTGGTCGTCCAGCGGCTTATAGCCACCCCGCCAGCCCGCCCGCCCGCCAGCCAGCAAAGCAGAGCAAGATGGAGGCAACGAGGAGCGACGACAGACCGGCGGAGCGAGACACGACAGGCAGCCAGCCAACACTCGATCCACCGTAGGGCGGGCGGGCAGGTCGGTGTGTTGGATCTCGGTCGGAATCTTGCAGGCGGGGGCCTCGTGTCAGCCAGAGAGAGAGAGAGAGGGAGAGGCGTGGGGGTGCCTGGCCTGGCCTCGCCCTCGGTCTTCGCGAGACACAGAGAGCGTACCTCGGTCCTGCTCGAGTTTCCTCGTCGCCCTTTTTGTCCCCTGGTGCCGTCGTCACCACCACCACCACCACCACCACCACCACCGCTCTGCCGCCACCTAGCCATTCTCGGGCGCATCCTACCTACGCCAATCCCGGCCCCCTCCCTATTCCGCCTGGCCCCCCATTGTGCGCTCGGCCGCGACCCGTTGACAGGATCGCACAGACGCACCTCTCCTCCACACACGCACACTGCGCTGCGCCACGCCCACCTCCGACGATTCTCGGTCGACCCTCGCTGCACTAGTGTTCTAGCACACCGACCGCCTGCCAGCCTCGACGACCACGACGACGACGACGACGACGACGCCCCTTGGACCGCTCCTCTGCGCCCGGTTCCGGCCCCGGATCCTTCGCCGCCGGCCCTGCCTGCTTCCCGACCCCCTCGGTACACGCCCTCGCGTCTCGCGTCTCGCGCTCCTCGCCCCCGCCCCGACGACCTCGCCCGGCCTGGTCGACGCATCGGCGTGAATGAAAGCGACATCGCTCCCCTGCAACCCGCTCGCGCCTCGGCTTCCACCGCCCGCTCTCGGCACCCCGCGCTGATCCACCGCCATCGCTACCTCGGCCACAGCGCGCCACACGCCGTCCCCCTTACTCCTTCTTCGCCGACCATCGTCCATCGCCAGCCGGCATCCCGGTAACGCCCGCTTGCCGTCCGGCCCTCGCCCACCATGGCGGGCTTCTCTCCCTTCGAGGTCAGCGCGCCCCACATCATCTACGTCGGCCTGGGCGCCTTCATCTGCATCTTCTCCTACCTCTCCCTCTTTATCAAGGAGCGCCTCTACCTCGGCGAGGCACCCATCGCCGCCGCCTTTGGCATCATCGTCGGACCCATCGCCATCGACCTCTTCAACCCGGCAAAGTGGGGCGGCGAGTCCGGCGAGACGCCCGGCGGCCACATCACCGACGAAGTCACCCTCGAGGTCATGCGCGTCACCATCGCCCTCTCCGTCTTTGCCATCGGCGTCGAGCTCCCCAAAAAGTACCTCCTCCGCCACTGGCGCTCCATTGCCATCCTCCTCGGCCCCGTCATGCTCTGGGGCTGGCTCGTATCGGGCCTCTTTATCTGGGCCTTTATCCCGGGCCTCGACTACCTCACCGCCCTCGTCGTCGCCGCCTGCGTCAGCCCCACCGACCCCATCCTGGCACAGGCCGTCGTCGGCGGGCCCTGGGCCGACAAGCATGTCCCCGCCCATGTCCGCCACATGCTCATGTGCGAGTCCGGCTGCAACGACGGCGCCGCCTTCCCCTTTCTCTACCTCGCCCTCTACCTCACCCAGAACCGCGGCAACGTCGGTTACGCCATCGGACACTGGTTCTACGAGACGTGGGCTTACGAGATCATCCTCGGCACCCTGCTCGGCGCCCTCATCGGCTACGGCGCCCGCAAGTTTATGCGCTTCTCGGAGCGCCGCAAGCTCATCGACCGCGAGTCGTTTGTCGCCCAGTACATCTCGCTCGCCATCGTCAGCATGGGCGTCAACGTGTTGCTGGGCTCCGACGACCTGCTGGCCGCGTTCGCCTGCGGCACCGCGTTTGCCTGGGACGGCTGGTTCACCAAGCAGACCGAGGACTCGAACTTTTCCAACATCATCGACCTCCTCTTCAACATTGCCACCTTCATCTACATTGGCGCCCTGATCCCCTGGCACGACTTTGCCAATGCCGAGATCGGCCTCAGCGTGTGGCGCCTGATTGTCATCACCGTCCTCGTCCTCCTCCTCAAGCGCCTCCCCGTCATCCTCGCCCTCTGGAAGTGGATGCCCGACGTCAAGACGTTCCGCGAGGCCGTCTTCGTCGGCCACTTTGGGCCCATCGGATGCGGCGCCATCTTTATCGCCACCCTCGGCCGCACCCTGATGCCCGAAGAGGTGCCCGAGACGCCCGGGTCGGTCAACGAGGTGCTGGCCAACGTCATCCAGCCCATCGTCTACTTTTTCGTCCTCTGCTCGATCATCGTCCACGGCCTCACGATCCCCTTTTTCGCCTTCGGCAAGAACGCGCACCGGCGCGCGCACACCCTGACGCGGACCTGGAGCCGCAACCCCTCGATGGCCGCCGAGGAGCCCGGCTGGATGAGCCGGGTACGCCGCGTGCGCACGGGCGAGGACATCATCATCAACGCCGACGACATCAGCGCCGAGAAGATGTCGGCGGCGCAGCTCGCCATGATTGGCCGCGGCGCCATCGG